AAATGTCAGCCGCTGTGGTGTAGTGGTAAGCAGTGCGCGCTTTCACTCATCAGCACCTGGGTTCAAAGCAACATCGCAAAAATTATAGAAAAAAGGTTTTTTTCTTTACAGCGGTCGTCCCTCGGCAGGCTAAGGCAATCCTCCGAGTGTATTTCTGCTATGAAAAACAGCTTCTCATAAAAATACAATCGCCCTTCGGAGCCGGCGTAAAACTGTAGGTCCCTCCGCTTTGTGTGACAAGAGCAAGGCCAACGCCACAAGTCGGAGGAGAAGCTCGGCCAAACACTAACATATGTGTAAGCGCCAATCTAATTAAAAGTTGACGCCGAAAAAAACGCATCTTTTTTCGCAAAATTTTTTTACGCGCCTTTTTTCTCTGTCAAAACACTTGCGCGCCTTTATTCGTGTGTAGTGACGATACAGATTAGTCGAAAAACTGAATTTAAAATTGTTTGCATATATTGTGAAAAATTGTGTGTTCCAATACTTTTTCCGGTACTGTTAGTATTTCGCAATTTAATTTGTTCTAAGGCTGGTGAAGCTGGTGGTAAAGAAGGCATACCTTGTAAGATTCTCGCATTAGCAATATAAGATTGTTTAGCACGAGCAAGGGACATTCTGGAGTGCTACTATTAGATTGGATTTTTATTAAATTGGATTTAGAGCCTATAGTTGGCTCCAGAATTCCATCTACTTCATATCGTTAACCTAGGAAGAGAAATCTGGTCTTATTGAAAGCTTCACAGTGGCACATAATGCTCTTTTGTTTCCCGTTCTTCATGACACAACCTACACATGCAAGAGTTGGTGTCTTCTTCGTCTCTCAACACATCTCTGCCAAATGTGTTTCGTCGACTCATCCATTTCATGGCGGAAAGGGCTTTTTGTGCCGCGGGAAGTGAACAGTCAGTAATCCCACAAGTTGTCTGCAAACCCGTGTGCTCAATGAAAGCAAATCTATTGTTAGACATTCTGAGGTTGAGAGCAACATGATGTCCACCCGTAGCCCCTCGAAGCCTCTCAGTCATTGCTGAGCAAAATATTCCCCCAGTTTCTGACAGCAACTTCGATAGCCGAAGGTGGGAGTCCTATAACTACTAGCAGACCAAGGAATAGTTGGTCTGAGCGTTCTCCAGCCAATGGTCGGACAACTCTTTACGAGGTACTCCCGAGTTACTGACATCCAGCGTAAGACAAGCTCGTTGTGTTTTCCAACACAATTTATTCGAGACTTGCATTGTCGAACTAGTTTGAAAGTAAATAGTTAGCGGGAATATTTCCTTTCGATATAGCTTCACATCCTGACCCGGCGTCAGTTTTGGGGCGCCATCATGTAAAGATTCTACAACGCTCAGTACCGACATGAAATCTTTTCTAATTAGGTAGGCCACATTATCTGCATAAGAATTGGCGTAGTAAAATAATACAGCTTTGAATACAACAATTGGATAGTTGCATATACCAAAGAGGTAGCACTTATTCAGGCATACCTGAACTTAATTGAAAACCGAGCTGTAAGGCGTAAACCCTACTGAATTTTTTTTTTCAATCCAAATATTTCAACTATCTGCAATGGGTTGTTTTCTGCTAAAGCTTCCTAACAGAAAGGAGTGTCTGATATTGATCCTTAACAGCATGCTCCCTGAAAGCGGAACTTCTAGAAAAGACTAAAGAAAGCAGCGGTAGACAATTGGCAGGGCATAGGTTTTCTCGCTAAGGGTGGTTTACTCTATGAGTCCTTATTAAAAAAAAAATGTTTAACGAATTTTCGTAATCCCTTGTCAAGTTTACCTTTAGTGTCAATTTTAGTTTTGTCTAGCTCAGGGTTCTAAAACTAGTGCACTTTTTCTGTTCAGCCTAAAAAGCATATTTTATCGCTAAATGGTTTTTCCAGCCAATAGTGAAAGACGTACTAAACATTGCAAATCTTCTGTGATGAATTAATAAACTCCAACGTATCCTTACGTTGTGATGCTTGTGGTCTAAATATGTGCTTTGAAACTTACAATATTTATATCGGTATTTTATTGAAAGTTGAATCCAAAAAAGAACTATAATGGCAAGCTCATAAAAATATTAATAGCAACGAAATAGTTTAGTTCTTATTGACAAGCTTGAGAGTTCATTGTAGTTTAATTGGAAAGAATAAATCATAGACATACGTACGTACAAACATGCATATACTTATACACAAATATATGCACACCTTTAGAAGTTCGAAGGAAAACAAAGCAAAGCACAAAGAAACGACATAAAATGTCTCGCTTGCCTTGAAATGTGGTGCAGTGCTTGTGGTTAACTGCTAAACCACAACAAACAGCCCAAGTCAAGCGACCAACTACATATTAGCTGAATGGAAGCAATGGACCAATCAATTGCTTCAGCCAGCAGGCGAGTAACTAATCGGTCGTTAGTTGATGAAGAAAAAACAACTTCAATTAAAATAAATAAATATAAATACAAAGCGCCAGCAGCCAAAGTGGACCCAAGAAATTCAAATACAAAACGGTGCAGTTATGCACATAAAAATAAAATATATATACATAAATATGTATGTGTACTCAATATGCTTACTATGTATTGTATCTACCTAAATATGTATGAAAATATTAGCTGGCTGCCGTTCTGATTGGATGCCAATTGCAAATTGAATAACTTTTAAGCCGTTTTTCATATGCAGCTGTATTTTATACAAATTTTTAGTACGTGCATTAGTTGTTGCTACAAATGATGATGGCTGCGCTTGCGCACGTATGTACATATATTTGTACGTTCACTTGGGCAAGTGGCTGCCAACATCAGCGCAATGGATTATACTTTTTTGGTATTTATATATACACTTCCCCGGCGGCTCGTAACAAATTATGTGACGTTTATTATCAGACGGTGCTAATTTGAAAGTCTTTAATTTTTGTAAATTATGATTTACTTATATTTATGCAAATAAATTTAAAAAAAAAACGCGTTTAACGAATTATACTTCATTTCCACTAAGCCTTAACTGCAGTTTATGCCTATTAGGAAACTGAGTTTACAGCTCGAAGAGGGTAATTATACATATTAAGTACAAGCAAACTAAAGTCAAAAAAGAAAAAAAGAAAAAATAAACCTTGCCGATCCCCCCATGTTAAAATTCCTGGAACTTACCGCAACTATTAATTGCAGTTAAGCTCTTAGTGGAAATAGGCTATTACTCAGCTGGCAAATTTTAACTAATTCATCCGTTTCAGTATAAAGAACATCTTATCTTTCCTAGATTGTCATCATATGTATGTAAGAATAAATTTTAATTTCCTATCTATGCTAAGTTGGGTTTTCATTTTACGGAAAAAGTTTATTTAATAAATTTTGGAAATGTAAGACTAAGTTAAATTTGACTTTTAAAATAGTTTGCTTAGACATCCGCATTGCAATATTTCAGTTAACCTCTCTCATAAAATTTTACTTAAACACTTATACTGGTGGTAACCCTTTCACAAATATTTAATAAATTAACGTTCAAAAGTATTTTAAAAATTATGCTTAATTATATCCCTCTCAACTGACCGCCATACCGAAATATTTTATTTAACTTTTCAATTAAATTTGTTTTGAATTCCTAAGCAGGTGGCAGCCCCCTTTAAAATTGTTTTCCAAGTGAAGCTTTCTTAGCCTTCCTCCTTTAAATATACACATACCTAAATATACTTAAATATTAAATTTTGAATTTCTACAAAGGTGGCAACCCTCTTCCAAAATATTTTGGAAATTAGGCGTATTTAAACCCATATTACAATGTTTCATTTAATTTGTAATTTAAATTGAATTTGAATTTCCAAATAGGTGGCAACCCTCCTTAAAAAAGTTCGAAACGAAGCTCTCTTACACCGCTCATTGAGTTATTTCCAATTTAAAGCAATTAATTTAATTTGTTGACAAAATTTGTTTTAACTTTTTGGGCAGGTGGCAACCCTTTTCAAAATTATTTCGAAAGAAATCGTTTTGGACCCACATTATTTGAAAATTTTATGCCTCCTATTAATTAATTCATTTTTTTTTTGTTTTTTGACGTGGCAACGCTTTTTTAAAAAATATATTATATGCTAATTCAGGTCATAACCTATCCAATTTATATAATTTATAATATTAGTATAAATGAGAGATTCATACCATTATGCCCATAGGCATATTGTAAGAATCTTGTCTGCTTTTGAAACATCCACGACGAAGCCCACTTGCTAAAGATTGTAGAGGAAAATGTTCCTGTATACAGCCCCGTTTGGAATTAAGATCTACTACTCTATTGGAAGCGAAGTGGACACATTGAAAGATTGATCTTAAGACTGGTTTTCACTACGTCATATTTTGACGCCAAAATTTGGCGACATATTTTGACACAACTTTACCCTCCATTACCTATACCTTTACCGATGATGTTATGGGCCAGAAACTGACAGATAGCCGATAAACCGCTTTTTAATCCTATTTGACAATATGTTTTCACTTAATTGACGACAAATGCCACTGAATTTGACATAGTGGAAACCGGATTCTGCATTTTTATGTTCACTTTCACTATCCCAGGCAACTTATTTCTACACTCTTCTAAATGCAACTATAAAAGGAAAACACGATACGAAACTTGACTTTGGTTTCTTGGCCACAACAAATTCCCCAGCTTCGGTTTTATTTTCACCTATAAATAGTTAGTAATTTTATATTATAACCCAACTGCATTAAATGCAAGCTGGCCTGTCTACATTTTCCCACAAACATCTTCCAATTTTTTCCTATTGAAAATCAACACCATAAATCTTTAACGCTTCGCTTTTGCAACAACGAAGAGCGCTGACATTTGACACATTAGCGCTTGCAGCTAATCTCTTTGGTCACAATGTTGCACTGAACTCAACAAACCATACAAATTGATCGGCGGTCATAAATTGTATTGTATTTGCATACCCGTATGTAACTTGTGTACTTGTAAGTGCGGCCAACACTTGTTGTTGGTTGTTTGAAAAATGCGGGCACATACACCGACCGATGTGTTTGTTGTTTTAGCTTATAGCAATTTACATAATTTGTCTGAATGTTTTGATTTGTATTTAATTCCTAGTGATGCCATTTTTCCAACGAAGGTGAGTACAGGTAAGTGAAGCAACTTTGTTGGTTTATTAATGTTGTTCCTTATTTTTTAGCTTGAACGAATTTACCTCGAGGGCCATGGTCCAGATAGGTATTGACTAATCTTCTTGTAGTTCGATTGACANAAACAATTTGTATTAATTTCATGCAGGTCTAAGGTCGTGAGTACTAAACAGCAACTCGAAAGGCTGGTTTCATTGATGGAAGAAAATCCTCAACTTGCGAAAGGGATTTGTACGAAGCTTCAGGCGGCAAAAAAGTGGGAAGATATTGCGCTGGAGCTCAATTGTTTAGGACCACCAATTAGAACGACAGCAAAGTGGATTAAGGTGAATTAAAGTAATTTTTCATTGTATAAGAAAATTTCAGCTTTGTGTTTTCAGGTGTGGGCTGACATGAAATCGAAGACCAAAAAGAAAATGTCGCAAAATAAGGCTGAATACCGAGCAACAGGTGGAGGACCGAACAGGCTTCAATCTTATACAAATATTGAGGAGGCCATAATTGGATTACTCGAGCTTGATGCCTGTGTGAATCCACCAGGAGCGGAATTCGGCCTAGATATAAGTGATAATCAGCGCCTAGATTCGCCTGAGCCGGCTCCAGCAGATGAAAACCAGCCACCATTCGATTTGGAAACGAGCAATGAAGACCGGAACTATGCAGTTGGCGAAAATACAACACGAACCCCCAGAAAAAAACGGTGCCACAAA